GTAGGGATCCCTTCCTGGTCTCCTGCCTGGGCAGCATGGCGCTCCTCAGAGAAGAGTCAGCTCTGAGCCTCCCCTCTCTCTCTCTCTCTTCTTCAACTCAAGATCTCTAGCCTGGTGCCGGGCATGGTAGCACAGGCCTGTAGTTCAGGCTATTTGGAAGGCTGAGGTGGAAAGATAGCTGGAGCCCAGCAGGTGGATGCTGGGGTGGCCATGAGTGTGCCACTGCATTCCAGCCTGGGTAACGAAGTAAGACTCCAACTCAAAAAAAGAAAAGAAAAGAAAAGATCTCTAGCCTGGACAACATGGCAAGGCCTCATCTCTATAAAATACCAAACAAACCGGGCTCGGTGGCTCAGCCTGTAATCCCGCGCCTTTGGGAGGCTGAGGTGAGTGGATTGCCTGAGCCCGCGGGTTCAAGACCTCATCTCTACAATAAATCAAAAAATCAGCCGGGCGTGGTAGCGCATGCCTGTAATCCCGGCTACTCGGAAGGCTGAGGCGGAAGGATCGCTGAAGCCCAGCAAGTCGAGGCTGCGGTGGCCGGGAGCGGCCACTGCACTCCAGTCTGGGCGACAGAGTGAGACTCCAACTCAAAAAACAAAAAACAAAACCAAAAATACCAAACAAATTAGCTGGGTGTGGTCGCATGTGCTTGTAGTCCCAGGGACTCAGGAGGCTGAGGAGGAAGGATCATCTGAGCCCAGGAGGTCAAAGCTGTGGTGAGGTGGGATGGTGAGACCCCCAACTCGGGGGAGGGGGGGGAAAGGATCTCATCTCTAACAGACAGGAAATCCTTCCTCCTGTCTAGTTTCCATTCTTTCTGTAAGAGCATCAGTCCCAAAGCCACTTGCATCCTCAAGAGCCATAGGAAACAGCAAGCCCCTCCCCCCCCTCCTCCCTCCCCCCCACCTTTGTAGCAGTCAGTTGAGATGAAGTTCATTCTCCTCTCTGTCTGGTCCTCAAGTCCCCTTAGCCTTCTCCAGAATCAACAATCCCCAGTGGGGGAGATGCAGTGACGGGCTCAGTACTTTGGGCGATGCTGGCACCGTCACCTAAAGAGAAGCCATTCCCCATGTCCCGGTGCACTCTGGTGTCAGGTGCCCAGCTGGCTGGCAGAGGTGCCAGAAGCAGACAGCGCTGAGAGGAAATCTGACACCAGCTCCTCCCAGGAGGTCCCGGGCTTGGCTGACAGCCAGCACTCATGACCCCCATGCCCCTGTCACCAGAAGGGCCCTCCCCACAGCAGACTCCCTCAGCTCCCCTGGGCCCCCGAAGCCTAGGACAGCCAGTTCCCCATCCAGAGCAGCCTGGCAACTCTGCCTGGTACAACCCAGCAGGACATGAGCCCAGGCCTAAATCTGACTCTCATTTCTCTCCACTCCCCAGGGAGTAGCGTCCCTTGGTCATGGCACAGCTCCAGCCCCCAGCAAAGCAGGTGACTCCCACTTCCCAGAGAGAGGCAAGCCCAGTACAGCCATGGCTCTACACAGCTCAGGGAAGAGGCAACATAGCTTTGACCCCCGCCTCCTCCTCTTTCCTTCCCATCCTCCCCCTAACACCCACCTCAGTCCCTGGTCTTGGGGAGATATCCCCCTCCAGCAGGAACTAGAAATCAAGCCACTGAGGAGGCTTCTGACGGCTGGCAGGTAGGACATGTGTCACCCCCACCTAACAAACCCATCCCGTTTTCCCACCCACACATGCTTTCTTTTTTTGAGCTAGAGTCTCACTCTGTCACCTAGGCTGGAGGGCAGTAGCACGCTCCCGGCCACTACAGCCTCGACCTGCTGGGCTCAGGCAATCCTTGCACCTCTGCCTTTCAAGTAGCCAAAAGTGCTTTTATGGGCCCTTCTGAATTCTCTTCTCCCCAATCAAGCAGAGGCTTTCAGAAAAGGTGGTAGAAACGTCCTTTCCAGAGCTGCAGCGGGGAGAGGGGAAGAATGACTCTGGGCTCGGAGCCAGGGACCCAAATAGCAATCCTGGCCCTGCTGGGCTCTCGCTGTGCAACCTTGAGCAAGTTAGCTAACTTCCCTGAGTTTCAATTTCATCTGCAGAATGGAGATACTGATACCTGCTTCTAAGTCATAGGATTCTGTTTGAAAAGTTACTGAGAGCCGGGCTCGGTGGCTCAGCCTGTAATTCCGTGCCTTTGGGAGGCTGAGGTGAGTGGATTGCCTGAGCCCGCGGGTTCGAGACCCACCTGGGCAACTTGGCGAGACCTCATCTCTACAATAAATCAAAAAATCAGCCGGGCGTGGTAGCGCATGCCTGTAATTCCGGCTACTTAGAAGGTTGAGACGGAAGGATCGCCGGAGCCCAGCAGGTCGAGGCTGCGGTGGCCGGGAGCGGCCACTGCACTCCAGTCTGGGCGACAGAGTGAGACTCCAACTCAAAAAAAAAAGAAAAGTTACTGAGAAGTGCTTGGTGGAGTCTTCTCTTGATTTTAAAAGTTACCACTCATCAAATCCTTACTAAGTAGGTAGGTACTGTTATTCCCATTTTTCCGAAGAGATCACTGAGACTTACGTAATATGAGACAAACCCAGTTCAGTCCAAAGTCAAAGCCCTGTGCTCAGAAACACCCCACTGTTCCATCTCTCCAAAATAACAGTCCTTCAATCGCCCAGTCTCATTCTAAGGTGGCTCCTAGTGGGGACAGGCCTCCCTCACAGCGGTCCTCACATTCTGGGCCCTCAGGAAGGGAAAACAGCAGCCAGCCCCAGCCTAACCTTTTTGGTTCCTACACTCTGCATTCTCAAAGCCTCAGCTCCAGCAGCCCAGACAGACGTTCCAGAGGGAATGGGGTGGAGCCGGGGTGCAGGGGAGGGGCAGAGTGGGGGCGGGAGAGCTCCGGTCACCCAAGCTGGGGCTTGCTCTAGCAAGAAATGACTAATCGGACCCTATCTTTTTCCCCCACCTCCTTCTGGCCAGCGAATGGCCAGTTTTCACCAGGCACCTCCTAGCAATACTTCCTCGGCATTATCTTTTCATCACAGTCACAAACCAGATTAGCTAAACTAATCATTTAGCCTACGTAATTACAATGCCTTCCCCTCCCCCACCTTGGCACGAGGAAGAGGGAAAAACAGGTTATTTTGGCCCAAACTCCATGCCCCTGTAGCTCCCCAGAAATGCACCCATCCCCCCAGAGCAGAAAAGGGCCTGGGTTCCCATCTCAGCCTCCTCCTAGCCCAGGCCTGAGCCTGATCCCCACCCCCTCTCCCATCTACACCCAAGAGGCTTGCGCACCCCAAGCACCCCTGATCTCCCCCCACCATCCTTCCATCCCTGGGACTGAGAGGGAGCCCAGCTCTCACACTACCCCTCCAACTAAGGAGGTTGAGCTCCAAACCCTGCAAAAAGACCACACTTCAGATTGTTAAAAACCGGTGTATAAAGCCTGGTCAAGATTCCCACTTCCAGAAGGGGATGTGCCGGGGGGTCCCAAGAAATTGGGAACAGGGGATGTAGCTCTCCCTGAGGAGTCTAGTGTGGAAGGGGCCCTTCCCCCAAAAGCCTTCCTCTGGGCTCACTTTTCCCATCAAATCCTCCTAGGAAAGGGGGTGGTGAAAGGCCTGTGAAGGCCGTCAGAGCATGTCCCTTCCTAATTCAGAAATCAACAGGAAAGCAAGCCCCACAGCTCTGAGCTCTCCTGCCTCAACTATCAGCCAGCTAAGTAACGTGGGGGAGGGGGCAGAGAAAAAAAAATACAAGAACGACCATTTCCCCCACCTTCCTCAGTTTGGCCCAGCCGTGCCCCACCCCCATTCCTGGGGAGGGGGCAGAGCTTGGGAGAGCCACTAACGCAGGCCTCCTCTGAGGGGGTGTGGTGGTCGCGGGAGGCAGGAAGAAAAGGAAGAAGCCGCTTCCCCTCTCGGCCCTTCTCCCCCACTCCGGCCCCTACCTCAGGCCCCAGGGGCCCAGCAAACAGGATGGAGGTGGGGGCAGGGAGGACAGGGTCAAAGCGCAGGCACTGGCCCAGGTTCAGCCTGGGGCCGGCTGGGGGAGGGAACTTTGCACCAAGGACCCCCTAGGCGTGGAGGAAGCTCTGGGACCGAGACAGGAAAACCCCCAGAGAAGCTGCGGCGAACACTTCCTCCTGCAAAGTTTGTTTTGGGTGATTTTCCCAACAATAAGAGGTTTGAGAGGCAGAGGAGTCCTGCCTCCATACCAGCGCTCCGGAAGCCACAGCCTCTGGACACTGGGCCAGGTGACCCTCAATTCTTCACCCATGCACAGAATCCTCTCCCCAGATCCCGGTGCCAGACACCAGCTGGCACCGAGCTGGACCCTGCACCGGCACCACTGTCATCCCGTCCCGCCTCCGCTGGAGCCCATAGCCCAGCACCCACCGGAGAGGAAGGAGGCGCCGCAGGTTGTACCGACGAGGCTCTGGGAGCTGGAGGGCAGGGCCTCTGGACTCCGTGCGCTCACCTGCTCGGCAGGTGGGGCCAGTCGCTGGGAAAATGTGCGCTCAGCCCCCACAGTTGGGCAAGCTAGGCGCAGACAATAGGGCCCCACCCAGGCCTGGGGGAGTAGGGAGGGAGGGAAAGCGAGGATGACGCGTGGGGTGGGATGAGGGTGGCCCCAAAGAGACCGGCGGCAGCAAGTTTCCCAGACGGTGAATTCCCGACTGCGGAGTGAGCCCTGGGACGCAGGCGGAGCAGGTCAAAGTCTCCCCGGCTGGCTCAGGGCGAGAGTCAGGGACGCGGCGACGGGCAACCTCCGCGGGCACCGGGGAAAGCGCGACCCCGGAGGCACCTGTCCTGGTCCCTCTCTGCTCTTCGCAGATCTCAAGTTCACACCGAGGCGCGCTCGGCCCGAACCACGCAGCGCCCCCATTCGCCGCGCCCGGGACCCCAGCGCGCCCCCTGCCGCCGGTGCAGGATGGCGCTCCCTGGCACCCGCCCTCACCTGCCCGCCGACGGCTGAGACCAGCCTCAGGGCCGCTCGCCGCCCCTTCCCTCCGCCCGACCATACCCGCCCCCGACCGCCCGCACCTGCGTGTAGAGCCTGGCCGGGCCGGGTCGGGGTCGGGCCGGGGCGGGAGCCGGCGCGGGCAGCGAACTGAGCTCGGCGCGCTCGGGCGGCGGCTGCTCCGGACTCTGGCCAAGGCAGCAACTCAGTAACCGAACAAAAGGCGAAGGGACCTGACAGCCAAGCCACGCCCCTCGCACCCTTGAAACTCCGCCCCCGCGGGAGACGCCCACCCGCTGGTGCGAGCTCACTGGCTGTCTCGCCTGACTGTCCCACAGCGGGGCGGAGCCTCGCCTCCAGTCCTCTTCCACGGCCGCCTGTGTTTATCCGCTCGTCATTGGCCCCAGGGACTGCCAGTCGGCTCTGGGGATGTACTCCAATTTGAGGTCCCGTCCTCACTCTGCACCTATTGGCAGATAGAACGTTGCTTCCTCCTGATTGGACAAGAGGCTGTCAGTAAGACTAAAAAAGAACCAATGGAAAGGATGGGGTGTGTCTTGCCCCACCCAAGCTCTGAGCAGGTAAGACTCATTACCCTTCCCTTCCCCCCTACCTGTCCAACAGGTGAGTCAGGGAGCACCTTGGGAAAGGACAGACGTCTTCACTAGCCAGCCAACTCAGCGTCAGGCATGATGCTACTTTGGGGCTTATTCACCCTTGCCCCAAAGTAGTAATGACATATTTATATAGCATTTCATAGGTTTTGTGCTGGGTTGGGATTTTTGTTCTCCAAAAATGGAGTACTCCTGGGATTTAGAATTAGGAAGCCTGGGCTTGGGTTCTGCCACTTTGTAGCTGTATGATCTTAGGCAAGTTATTTCACCATTCACCTCCTCATGTGTACATTGGGTACATTAGCTATATCTTTCTCACTGGAGTTTGTGGGAATTAAATGAAGTCAGATTTGTGAAAGAACTCTGCCAACTGCTAACGGTTAGAATTTAAACTAATGACAAGGGTTTTTTACATTCTTACAATAGCTCTGAAAAATTGTTAGGACAAGAAAATAATCCTCATATTACAGGTGAAGGAACTGAGGTTCAGAGAAGTCACAAAACCAGAAAGTGGCACACCCCAAACTAGAACCGCTTTCTTCTCATTTCAAGGCCCTCCAAACCACCGTTCCCATTGTGGAAGAACAGTATACAAGTGAGACCCCAAAAAACTCCGAATTTATTTACTTAAAAAATTATCAGCCGGGCTCGGTGGCTCAGCCTGTTATCCTGCGCCTTTGGGAGGCTGAGGTGAGTGGATTGCCTGAACCCGCGGGTTCGAGACCCGCCTGGACAACGAGACCTCATCTCTACAATAAAATCAAAAAATCAGCTGGGCGTG